ACGGCCTTCATCGGCTTCCTGAAGGAGCGGGTGCACCGGGACAGCAGTGTGGCGCTGGCTCAGCAGGCTGTGCTCCCTGAAAATGCCCTCTTCAGCTCCATCCAGTCCCTGCAGTCGGAGTCGGAGGTGCCCAGGCTGGGGGGGATGCAGGGTTGTTCTTGGTGTGCTTGCTGGGTGCTGGCAAACTGATCATCGGGCCCGCTGGGCAATTTTGCTCCTGCCTGGGCCGTTTCTGGGGATGTCAACGTGATAGATCAGCACTAGTTGGGACTTGCTGGGTTTCTAGAGAAGGCAGCAGGCTGTTCTGGGGCCCTGTGAGGTGGGATTGGGGCTGAGAGAGCTGGGGTGCCTCGGGTCTGTGTGGCTGGTGGGGATCAGCCCTCCAAGTCTGCACAGGACAGTGATTCTCTCCCTTTCAACTCTGCAGCCTCACAGCCTGATTGCCAACGTGATAGCGGGCTCCTCAGCACTGGGCTTCCACATGGGCCGGGATGGACAGGCCTCCCGCCATCTCTCTGAAGTGGCCTCGGCCCTGCGTTCCTTCTCCCCGCTCCAGTCTGCCCAGCACCCTCCCAGCGGCTTCCAGGCGGCAGGAAGGGATGGAGAGGGAGCCCAGCCTCGGGGTGCCAGTGCCATGACAGCCTCTGGGTAAGCTGCATGCTGGAGAGGGGTGACTGGACACCTTGCAGATTCCTTAAACCCTTGTCCAGTTGCCATTCTGTGGACCTAGGTGCACAGTGGCATTTGTTTCTGCAGCCCGGGACAGCAAGGGACACGTTCACAAGCAGAGTTAGGCCCAGGTGCTTAGGCTGGCCCCAAAGGACAGCCTTGGGGTTCTGGTGGTCACCTGTAGGTACCAGTGTGGTGAGAAAAACCCCTGGTCAGGAAGAGGCAGTGCCGTAGCGGGGCTGGTCACCTTGTGCGTCTGGGGAGATGCTACAGAGGGCCTGTTCCTACCCAGCCCAGGAGCGGATCTCTGCAAGCCTGGCATGAGAGCAGAGCGGGGCTGGGCGGGGTGGGGGGCACCTGGGCGGCAAACACCACCTGTGTGTCCCGCGGCAGCGCCGACGCGAGGACCGTGAGCTCAGGGAGCAGCGCCTGGGAGGGTCAGCTGCAGAGCATGATCCTGTCGGAGTACGCCTCCACGGAGATGAGTCTCCACGCGCTCTACATGCACGAGGTGAGCAGCCGGGAGCTGGGGCAGGGCAGGCAGCGCTGGGGTATCCTGTCTGGAGCGCCTGGGATGCCAGCATGAGTGAGAGCCGAGACCAGTGTGTGCACAGCGCTGGGGAGAGGGCGCCTGGGCTCTCCCACGCAGCTGACTCGCTTGTGTTTTGGGCTGCAGTTGCACAAGCAGCATGCCCAGCTGGAGCCCGAGCGGCACACTTGGCACCGGCGAGAGAGCGACGAGAGCGGGGAGAGCGCCCACGAGGAGCTGGACGCTCAGCGGGGTGCCCCTGTCCCCATCCCCCGCTCTGCCAGCTACCCCTTCTCCTCGCCACGGCAGCCTGCCGAGGAGACGGCCACGCCGCCGCGCGGCGGCGATACGGTGGCATCACAGGTACGGGAGCCCGGGCAAAGGTCCGAGCTCCGGGTCAAAGCCCCGCACCCGGTGCCCTGTATGGACCGGCATGAGCAGCCTGCCTGCCCCTGCAGACTGACAGTCCCCTGGGTAGCTAATCTTCCTCCTTGCCCCTCCTGCAGACCCGGGCACAGTACACCGAGCCCCATCCCACTTCTCCCGCCTCCCTCTGGGAGGCTGGGCTGAGGACGGGCAGTCAGCGAGACACCCCGAGCCCGTGCCAGAGGAGAGCTCAGAGGATGAGCTTCCCCCGCAGATCCACAAGGTAGGGGGGAAGGCTGTGGCCGAGAGGGGAAACGTGTACTTCGAGTGGTCCCGATGGGTGCGACATCCCCTCTCTGTCTTGCAGGTATAGCCTTGTAGACTGGGGATCTTGTGGGGGTTGCAGACTGGGAGCCGCCTGGGCAGCAGGATGTGGCGTCAGCCTGATTCTTCTCCCGTCCCGAGCGGACAGGATAGTCCCGGGCTCCATTTTGTTGCCATCCATTGCCGAAGAGACAAAACTGCCAGGCCGGCGGCTTTGCGGCGGCGGCGGCACCTCGTGCCCAGCCATGTGTCAAGTCATCGCCACTCTGACTCTGGTGGGGTGAATGCGTGTGTGAGTACATCCCCGTGTCTGTGTTCACGTCTGTGTCGTCCGTGTCGGAGGATCGCTGCGGAGCCTGCGGGAGCTGACGTGACAGGACTAGCAGTGGGGAGCTGTGGACGGGCTTGGAGGTGGCAGCGGCAGCTGCTCGTCGAAGGAATGGGAGATGGCACCAGCTCCAGATGTCCGCCCGGCGCTGGGACCTGCCTCCAAAATGAAGGCAGGAGCTGTTGAGGGGGGTCTAGATCAACCTGTAGCAGCACACCTGCCCTGCCTGCATCCCTGAGGTGTCCAGGACCAAGTTCGCCCTCCCGGAGAGGACTGATGTTGTGCCCCTCAGCCCGGAGCAGGACAGCAGTGGGGTAGTTGCCCACCCCTCTGCCCCAGCACCTTGCAGAGGGGCCCTGCTGCTGGTGGGATCTGGAGCTGGTGGGAACAGCTCTGCCCAGGATCCAGGGATGCTGCGGCTCTTCCACACCTCTCATGGCAGCTGGCCCGGCCCCTGCACGCAAGGAAGAGTCAGTGGGGTGAAAGTCCTGGGTCCCTGACGTCCCTCCCAGCTGGCAGCCCCCGTGCCGTACCTCTGGGCTAGGGCAGCACCAGTGGGATGTGGGCTGCTAACAGGCCCCCCTGCAGTGCCAAAAAGACCCCAGCGCGGGGCAGCCCGGCGTTTCCCAGGAGTGCTCATGACCCCCTTGGAGCCCACCCTGGAGGTCTTGTTCTCTGTGTGTTGGGTCACTTCCCCCAGGCATGATAAAGGCCTTTTCTCCGTGCCCAGGCTGTGGCACATCGGGTCTGTCCTCCTGATGTGGCCGTTTCTGTGGCATCGGGCCTTTCCTTTTCCCCAAGCAAAGGCTTTGGTGCGTCTCACGCCTCACCCGGGGGCTCCCAGCTCCTCCTTCGCTCCTGAAACCATCCTTTTGCTTGCCACATGGCTTCGGCTGCTGTGGAGACCGCATGCCAAGCAGCTGGCTTGTGCCTGGCAGGGCAAGGAGGGGTGCCCTGAACCCAGGAGGGAGAGGCACACCCCAGCCCAGCCTTTGAGGGGTGGGGGGGGATCAAGATCCCATCCGTGCAGCAGCAGCTTCAGCCAAGACCTTCCCGCTATCTTTCTGGTTTCCCTCTCTTCTCTTCCAGCGGCAGCTTGTGAGGATCTGCATCCCGGCTAACCCCTGCCAGGCTTTGCTTTCTCTCCCTCCCTCCCTCCTTCCTTCGCCTTGCCTCTGGCAGGGGCTGCTCCCTCCAGGAGCACCGCAGGCTCTGCCATCCCTTCGGTCCGGGGCCGCCTCTCTTCCCCTGCCAGGGTTATCACCCTCTGCCCTTTGAGCCTGGGCTGGGTGCGCTCCGCCTATGTGCACCGCGGCCAAAACCAGGACACCAGGGCGTGAGCAGGGATGGGGTGTGTCTGCAGGGGCGGGCTTTTTCAGGGTGGTGGGCTCCCTGCTGCGATGGGGCGGGATGGACCGGAGCTGTGACTGCTCTGGGGTCTGTAAGAGACCGAACAGAGCTCAGGATGGGCATCAGCCCTTCGCTGCTGGGGTGGGGACTGAGCTGAGCCGGGGGTCCGTAGACCTGCGTGCTGCTGGGGGCCTCCCACGGAGGAGCAGCTCCAGCTTGGGGCTGTCACGGCGTGGTGAACGGAAACTAAAAGCCAATCTCCAGGAAACCAAGCTTTCCAGGGGCTGCCCCCTGCCACCTGTGCTGCCTCCCTGCACGGAGGTGAGCCCCCCACCCCGGGGCTGCCGGACCCTGGCCTCTGCGCTCCCCGGCAGAGTTGCTGCTGATCTCCAAGCTGAGCGGTGGAAAGCTGGCAGTGCCCTGGGGCGGGGGGGGGGAA